TCCCCTATCTACCTTTCACCAAGTGATCTTGAAAAAGTTGCGTTCCCTTTTAGTGCTTCATCTTCCTTATTAGCAAAACAAGGATATAAATAAATGACTCTCACAGAGAGCAGAGAAGACCTTTAATTCATGATATAGAAGTAATGACACTAATGTACTGCTATTAGAAAATGAAAAATTACTTTGTTTTTTACTATTTGGTATGCAATGGATAGTAACCATAACTGCGAAAAGTCCCATTGTGCATAGTACTGTACAAAAACATAGAAGGAAAAAAATCTGACATTGAAAAGTACAGATATGAAAAACTATTAAAAAAACAAAGGCACACAGCAACTTCATTAAAAAAAATCTTTAAATTGTAGACCACATATAAGCATATGTGCTGTAGTAGTTTCTTTGTGAATATGGAGAACTGTGATACAAATAGAAGCAGGGTGGAACCAGCATTGTCCTTCTCAATTTCAGAACTGTTATTCAGCAAGAAAACAGACACTGGATTTTGAAAAACATAGACCGAGAGACCACAGAAATCAGAGGTAATCAAACATTTGAGATTTTTTATCCAAGAATACCTAGTGTGAGATAAGTACCTTTCATGAAAATAATAAATGTTCTTTATTTTATTCCAAACAAGAGGGAAGACATGCTTCTAAAACTTGAAAATGGCCAATAGTGACAAAAGGCACCAAGAGAAAGGATGAGAAGTTCGTAACTAAGAAAAACGCCACAATTTGAGAAACACCAAAACAAATATCAGGAGTGGAAACTACAAGCCTAGCAGCAGATATGGCTTAGAATTTCCTTTCACATTTCTTTCCTTCTAATTCTTGGATAATACTAAGGTTTTCTTTGTTGTTCTCAATGAATGGACCACCAGACCCACCAGGCATGTAACAGTCTTGTAAAACTACCTTCTTTCCATGCTCAGACTATTTAAGTACATCTTAAGAGGATCATAGAATCATTTAGATTGGGAAAGACCTTTAAGATCATCACGTCCAACCATTAACCTAGCACTGCCAAATCCACCACTAAACCATGCCCTGAGAAACACATCTACACGTCTTTTAAATACCTTCACTTCTCTGGGCAGCCTGTTCAATGCTTGACAACCCTTTTAGTGAAGAAATTTTTCCTAACATCTGACCTAAACCTCTCTTGAAGAGAGCACTGAAAATTTCCTTCATTTTCTGGCTTAAAAAAGGAGTTGCAATGTCATGTTTCTCAGACCATGAGGAGGCATACAATGATCTGGAAGACCTAATAAACTTCTGGCAAGAAGAGTCTCCTTTTTCATATTTCACAAGGAAGTTTAACTCACAAGGGTAACAACATTTTCAACATCTATCCCCTGTGCTCTCCAAGATTTTAACTTTAACTGGTATTCATCTAACAGTTTGTTTGTCTGATTCCCATTTATGTTCTCCTCCGAAAAACGTTCTTCTTTTGTTTTAGTACCACACAGTTTTGGCCAGGTTCCAAAGTATTTTATTAAATAATTCATTGGACTGCTATATAGATAATTTATGCAGAAATTGCTGTCAGTCTCATGGGCAGCTACCGAACCTCACTGTGATTGGAACTAATAACTATTACCAAGATATGATAATTTCATTTAACTTTAGGAAACCATCTGGTGCCTTCATTTCGTGTTGCAACATAATGCCACTGTTTTACTCAATCCACTCTCATTAAAACAAGTCAAAGCATCTAAGGAAAAACATACACATAGATGATAAATTTATGCTCTCAATCATCTTTGTGCACCACTCCCTCCCACCCCCAAAGTCATACTCTCATAGCTTTTTGAAGTAGGAGGGGACTACTAAAATCTAATCTGAGCTCCTGCATAATGAAGGTTCTCTATTTCATTGAATAGCTTCTAAATCAAAAGCATAACGTGTTTGGGCTATGCTGTACCTATTTTCCTCACAATGGCTTCATGTGATAGATGAATCCAGCCCTCTCCTAGATAAGTTGTACCAGTGGTTAATTACTCTCATTCTTAAAAATATGCACCTTTTTTCTAGTCCGAATTCGCTTAACTTCAGTTTTGAAACATTGGATCTCATTATACCTTTTTCTGCTAGATTAAACGTCATCTACTGTCAGAAGTCTCATTCGCATTAAGATGCTTACAGACCATGCAAGTCACCTCTTAACCTTTTCAGCAGATTAAATAGACCAATCTTCTTTAGACTCTAACTACAGTGCTTTTTTCCAGACCTACAGTCATTCTTTCACCTTTAATGAACTCTTTCCAATTTTAAAGACATTTTTGAAGTGTGATCACCAGAGTAGGACACAATAGTTCATTAATAGTTTCCCTAATGCTGTATGAAAAGGCAGTGTTTCTTGCTACTTGATATTCAGTTGTCTACGTATCATAGAATATAATACATAAAATTTAAAACCATCCTTTAGCTTACTGATAAAACAGAAAATATTCTGAAAGGAATTTAAAATGTGAATATTTATCCCTTTTTTTTTTACACACAATGCGGAAAACATATGCAATTCTATCTTTTCTATACTACCTATACTTTTCTATACTACCTATACTTTTCTATAGTACTACCTCCAGTGTCACTTCTGCCACTTAAGATATTTTTCTGATAGTTTTTGTCTTCCATTACCAGTTTCTTGTTCTTAAGTGGTTTTTATATCATTATTTAGTAGTAGTATCTATGAGCTATTCAACTCCAGTAGTACATTTTAAGTCAATATTTAAAGTCTGGAATGAATCAAATGAGTTTGTATAGTTTCCATTTACTTTTCTTTTAAGAATGATTTTCACTTATTAGCTGAACTACAAGAACAGTTGTAGTTACTTCGAATGCTTAAGTTTGGATCCATTTCATTAAGTAAATAATACCAATTGGTTCACATACTACTAGATAAGATAGTAAATATCAGAAAAATATTTGGAATCATATGGTTGCTAGCTGGAACAAAAGTTCCTATCAATTAATTTTAATGTCACAAAACACTTACTAACCATGATCTGTTCATACATATAGCCCAGAAAATGTTTGTTCAACAGAATAAACCTTAAGTTGACATAAAATGTATCAGCTGAATAAACAAATCCTGCATTTTGTTCTGATTTCTTTTTTTTCATTCATAATGAAGAATAAAAATTCATTAATGTGCTAAAAACAATAACAAATTATGTGATCTGACACCATAACTCTGTTGTGTATAAACCTAGGTTATTTCAACTGCAAACAAAAATCTTTTATGCAGGATGTGCAATTGCTATTTCATTAGAAGTAAGTCCTCTCTAGCTCTTGGATACAATATACTAGATAAACACAAAATATATCTAGAAAAATAGAAACAGAAGAAGAAAAAGAGCAAAAAAAAAGAATTCTGCAGAAAAGAGAGCAGTATATTGATATGCAGAGGGGAAAAACATTCCAAGAAAGAGAAATAGTCTCTGTATGTTTAAAAAAAACACAGATTATGTGCATACAAAAAAGGAAAAAGAGTGAATAAGAGAGAAAATTAAGGGTGGGGAGAAGGAAAGCTAAAAGTTAAGAAGATGCAGAGAAAAGTGCTTTTGGCAACCAGAAGGAGAGATACTGCTAATTTAAACTTGCTTTCTAACATTTTAGAGTCCACAGTTTGAATCTGAGTTACAACAATTTCAAAGGTTTCTGCCAGACAAAAATTGAATTAAAGCCCTATGGTGTTTTCTGGGAACTCAGTAAATACCTTGTGTCAACTCTTTATGTCCTGATACGTAAATAATTTTGACTCTTTTAAAAACCTTAGTCTTTACATTTTCAATAGTGTTTCTTTTAACTGTTTCGCATATTTCCTGTCATCAAGAGACTTCTACTTGATTTGTTACTACTGCTAACTTCATCAGCTCTTTTTCCAACAGGTATTCTGGTCAAAATACTCAGAACCTTCCCAATGTATGCTATAACTTAAGCAGCCTGAAGCCTTCCGAGATGATGAAGTTGAATTGATTTTTATTTCCAAGCAAAAGCTGAAAGCCCTATAATTACTTTTAAAAACTAAAGCTATGTGTACACTTCGATTGTCTCTAAGGACATAATATTAAATAGTGACTCTTTAACCTTGATATCTCAACAAATTTTGTGCTCTCTGAATCTGATGGGAGGAACTGAGCAAACATTCTTCAATTTCTGCACCAGCTGACAAGTTACCTTAGACCTGTTTGTCTAATTTCAAATGCCAACGTAACAGACACCACAAAGCTTTAGGTGACAGCATAATAACTCATAAAAATGGAATATACTAGCTAAAAGCCTTCAAAATGTACCAAAGATCAGATAAATATTCTTAAACACCTCTCTCTGGAAGATCCAAAACACCTCTGTGCTATCAAACACAAGGAGTTACAGAACAAACCATCCTCTCTCCCTTCATGCATACTTCTCACTAATTGAAACCCACTTAAATGCTTGATGAAGATAGAAAATAAAGATTTCTCTCTAATCCAGCAGCATATTTCACTACATTTCAAATTGAATTATCTCAGTAACAGGGTAAAAGGAAGAGAAATCTGTAAGAATCTGAGCTTTTATATGGACCCCAAATTTTATTCAAATGTTTCTCAAAAATATGAAGTCTAAAAGGTTTTTCTCAGTCCAGCCACTAACACCCTTAGCATAGTCTGGTTGCTTGAACAAAGAGTACAATTCAGTATAATGCTGTTGAACTGACACTGTAACTCTTAATCCAACAAAACTCATCTTGTACATGGTTGTAGGAGATCTGTCTGAGCAAAGTGTTCAGGTTTCTTTACCTACTCCACATTCAATTCTTCAAGTGAAAATTGTCATTACCTTTTATTTCCTATGAGAGATTTGCATTTGCTTCCTTTGCCTCCTTGCAAATCCTCAAAAAAGTGGTTTTCCGTTGCTTTTGACAGCAGTGGGAACCATATCTGTTGCTCCTTAGCAAGGTGCACAAACTTCCCCCCACAAAACATAGCATCTTTTCAAACAGAATATAAAGCTTACCTTGAAGAAAGTCATGGTTGCTCCATCTTCAACTGCCCCATACTCTATCTTTGTCTGCTTGGCCAAATCGTCAGCAGAATCTATAGGGGATTCCATACGTTCCACTGTCAGAAAGGCGGCTAGGTTAGCAGTGTACGAGGAAATGATGATAAGTGTGAAAAACCACCAAATGCCTCCCACTATCCTGGTGGAGAGGGCTTTGGGCATGAGCTCAGAACCTAACGAAAACCAGGGGAGAAAGATGAAACACCAATGCACAGAAAACAATTAGTAAGTGTTCAGCACTTTTTGCCACAGTGGGGAGATGGAATCACTGTGCAAAAAAATCTTTAAGCTACAGGCTTACATGTACTGCTTGTACAAACACACACAACTGAAATAAAAAATAAGAACTGATTACACTTATAAAGACAGATCTTTTTGGAGCCGTGGGAATCAAAACATAGTAATGGGAGACTCAATGATTAGTGCCTTTTAAAGATTTATAAATATATATACATAGCAATGTAAAAAAAGCAGTTACTTAAACTGGCTTTCCAGAAAAAATCTTGGCTGGACTGAGCCTCTAAGCTAATACTAATATTGAAGCACTTATACAGTTCTTTATTTTCAAGGCACTAAATAAACTTCATTTAAGTATTTTGTAAAAACTCACTTGAGTAAATAAAAATAAGCTATTTATGAAAGGAACAAATATGAAATAAAGTATTTCATATCTGAAATACAAAATCTGAAATCTATTAGAAATATGCTTTTTACATTTGCCATTTGTATTGCTGTAAAGGGTTGTTTATTGACTGTTTAGATAAAGAAATGAACATCTCCCATCTCTATAGTTAGCCCCACAATTTCAGATAAACATGGGTGGCTATACCACACACTTAATTTGATAGAGCAGCAATGAAAATATTAGACTGCTATGCATAAACTAGATAAGGGTAGATTATAATGCATTGCTGGAGTTGCCTGCTCATGGCACTAAAGAATGGAGTGGGAGACAGACACTGTAGAGTGATTTGCATAATTATTAATGCTAATTTAGAGTTTAATGAGACAAATTGAAGCACATACACTCCTCTTGTGCCTAATTACTAAAAATAGGAAAAAATAAAGTTCAGTGTAATTTACAAACACAAATATTTATAATAAAATTAGCATATATGGATTTTTTTTCCATAAGGTTATAATTGAGTGGAATGAAATTTCTAATTATGTCAAATAAACAATTTCAAGCTTCATTGTAAGAATTTTATGTAAGATCTTTCAGAAGTATCCAGAAACTTGTTTTCAAAGAAGCAGTTTTACCATATCCACTATACCATTGTACCAAAACAATCACTTTTTGTTAATTGGTCACTAAGCTTTTAAATCTCCTGGGTAAAATGGAATGAAGGCAAGATGGACTATTTTATTCCTGTTAAATTTTAGTGTTTATATAGAATTATTTAAGGAACTGGTCCAGCAAGGTAACACATCTTCATATAAATGAAAGATTATGCCAAACTTCCAACGTCAATGCCAAAAAAAAAAACCAGAAAGGGGAAAAAAAAAAGGAAGAAAACCAAAGAAAAGGAAAAAAGAAGTGGTATCATAACTGGACTATTGTATTCAAAAACAGCCCATCTTACCCTGCAGTTCATCTTACCCTTGCTGTTTCAAACAAAAAAAGCTGACAGACTTGGACATGACAGCCAACTCCAGCGCCAGACTCTGCCTAGAATTCTGCAAGGAAAAAAGTAGAAAAGTACCTTTCTGATGTAGTTGCTCCTAGGCCCTGTTAGTCAGACACTTAGACACCATAACACTAACAGATTTCCCAATAAGCCCACCATCATCAACTGTTTTTAATTGCTCTCGTTTCATTTAAAAAGCAACACCAGTAAAGTCAGATAGGACTGGGAAGAAAAGAAGAGTGGAAACATTTGCCGCAGTTGCCCCAATTACCACAAGTTCATACCTTACCAAGGACTGAAACCGAGTGCCACCTAGGCCCATGAAACAGAGCCTGGTTAGGGGCTGACTGTCATGTACCCAAGGTAACGTCATGTCCAGCGCTATATCCCACAGTTTCCTGGGAGCGAGGCGTGTCAGCAAGACATGTATGAGTTCCCTCTATCATGTATCCTCCAGCACTAAGCAAATGTTTTGTAAAGAAGCAGCACTTAATAAGTTAATGTGAGTATGGCCTAAGCGCTATTATATAGTTTCTAATGGAAAGTTATTGCCGTTATGTGAGAACTTCCACGCTTGTGTAAAATCCTACTTTTAGCCTACTTTAGGCTCTTGAGATATTTTTCTTTAAAGCAATTATCAAAATCAAGACTGATACTTCATCCTCAATGGTGCCTTTGAAAGTTTATTAAAAGATGTACTGAGTCAAAGGCAAAACATATAAGGCAAGGACAGAAGATCAGCCTTAATTCTGTAAAAATAGTTTTCCTTCATGGAAAGCTATTATCTTCCAAAAATAGTTTTTAAAAATACTGTCTTTATTTTGATT